ATTTAGATAAACAAATTTAAGAACGTTTGTTGTTATTTTTACTTTTGTGTTTCTCTGCGAATCTTATTTACATTCTATTCCACGTTGGTAATATCATACTCTCCAAATTCCGCGAGACAAATTTGTAAACTATTTTTCCATACTTAAACGAACCCTGCGCTTGTTTTTAAGCAATTTCATTATTGAAAATGCTTGTTCACAAGCATGTGTGCTAACATACATAGATATTATTCAAACATTATTATCTAATACGTTTGAAACTTGTGATTTATCCTTATAAAATTTATAACCTTATAAAATTATATTATACTACCTGCCGAAGGTAGGATTATTATTGATAGCTGCCACGTTGCACGAAGCCTACCACTGCCACCAGCAGGAGACCTTGACATCACTGATCAGGGGGGTGTGTGACTTAATAGCTGGTAAAACGTCCTTATTTGAAAGTAGTAGGTGGGAGGACAAGAGAGTGGTGAGAGACGGTGAGAGGGGAGGTAAGTCCGCCATTATCTGCCACCCTGGAAAGTGGCGCTGTGCAGGGGCTTTTGAGAACTAATTTTAAAAGCAGAACTTTTTGTTTGTGGGATTTGTTCGCTAAAAAGGACGACAGTATACGACGGTTTCTCTTGTTGTTCGCATTCTCTGCACGTTTGCCAACGTGATTTGATTTTGTTTTGTTGTTTTGGCAATTTTAGTAAGAAATGCCGAAATATAGGCGTTGTGGGTCCCAATTGCCACAATAACAAAAGGGAAATGCGGAAAAAGACAACGAGGTTGTTTTCTTTTCCAAGTGAACCTGAACGGTAAGTGAAATGAAATATATGGCATGATTCTGAATGGTTAACATTTTTCGAATAATGGTATTTTTTATATATTTACAAATAATCTGTGGCTATTTTTATAAAAAAACATCTAATTTTGCTAACATAACCTAACTAGTTTTAACAATTGTTAACAAACCAATTTATTATTTATAGTCATTTTTATACAACAACCTTAAATCTAATACTATTTTGTTTCGTATTATTTAGATAATTTATGTAATACAAGCATTATTATATAATATAGGTGTATGAATTGGTTTATGGCAATTGGAGACCCAACATTGGCTGTTTCCCATTGCAAACACTGATACACAGAATGTATGTGTGCATGGAACATTTCATGCCTAGAAGAATGTTGACTGCAGCAGGAAGAGCAGGTGGAATGCAGTACCTATTCATATTCAATGATGTGCGTCCTGGATTGCAAGAAGAAGCCACGTAAATAAGTCATTAATTTTCAATTCAAGAAGCACTCAAACATTTTAGAAGGCATACACCAGACAGGCGTAAGTTATGTTTTTAGCCTCTATTAAAGAAATAAGACATTTTTCCAATTTACATTTGTATTCAGATCAAAGACCCATGTCTCTTTGATTTGCAGGCCAGTCCACCTTCTCTGAATGTCACAGTCAACATGTCTCCAATGTCCTTCGCATTTTCCTGGTGAGTACAAAATCATTTTTTTCACATTTTAGTGAATGCACGATTCCCTTTTTAAGTCAATAACACCTCCTCGTTTGGTGTTACAGATCTTCTCCTCCGGCTGGAGAGGAGAGAACAAACCTGTGGGGAAGGATTATTCGCCGCGCGTGCCTAACCTACTCCAATGATAGCGAGTATTGTAAATGGTACTGACCGATAAAATCGAGAGCTGCTACAGTGCTACTAGGGGTTAACGTAATGCTCATTCGAGAGGGAGACACACAAAAC